ATTATATTTTTAGAGTCAAGGTTTAAAATTTTAGTATCAATTGAAACCGTAAAAAATATAAATATTAAAGGAAATGCAAACTCGACATCAAACGAGAAAAAAATATATTGAAAAAAGAGGAACGTCAGAGTTATTTTCATCGACATCAAAATTAGAATACAATGTTTGTAAATTGGAACATACGATTTATAAATGTCCTTAATTTTATAGTTTGACCCTACCAGAGCAAATAAAACGCGTAATGGAGTTGAAGTTATGTAAGGTTTGTCTACGCAACACTGTAAGATGTGTTTAATACTTCAGTGAGCCAGATCAGGTTGATCCTAGGATATTTCAATGCAAAAATAGGAATAGAGCAATATTATAGAAACACCATTGGAAATCCTACCTTGCATGCAACTTCAAATGACAATGGATCATCAAAACTTATTAATTTTCCTGTGGGAAAAGGTCTGTTAATCAAAAGTACTATGTTTATAAGGAAGGACATAATATAAATATATATACAAATATACTTGGATCCCTCAAGATGGAAAATGTAAGAACCATATGGACTAGCGGTTATCAAACTTTTGGACCTCGCGGACCACTAAATCCATAACTAAATCTTAAGGACCAACATTATAAATCTTAAATACTGAATAAAAAAAAATTAATTGACGTATATTTTATAAAATATCGATAAAGGGTTATTTTATTTATAACGAAATTATTAAAGTTGGTTTAATTGATAATTAATTGCAAAAAAAAAAAAAATAAACAAAAATTAAAATGAAAACTGGATTCGAATCATTAGTATTCTTTGAACGTATTGTGATAACGATATTAGGTTTATTTATTTTATAACATGCGATAATAATGACAATATTATTACTTGTTTATTCTTATTTTCGGAAACTGATCCTACATACAATAACATACAATAGTTTTGTATATTACGATTATAAACATAACATTACAAATAATGTTAAAATTTTTCTGTGGATTGTCAGTTGACGACTGCTGTTATAGATCATGTACTAATTAATAGCAGATTTAAGAACAATGTTCGGAATATAAGGACTTTACGAGTAGCTGATCTGGATTCGAATCATCAACTTCTCAAGGTATGGATGAGAGCAAAATTTAAAAAACTTAATAAACGATTGTTGGTAAATATAGGATGGTTTGATATTGACAAACTAGAAGACCAATCACTCTAAATTATGAATTTAGTACTAAATTTAAGAATATTTTAAAGAAAATTGAAGTAATAGACGGCGCAAATGTGGATAGGATTTGGGAAAAATAAAAAGATCCATTACAAGCGACAACGAATCAGGAAAAAAAATTTGAAAACTAAAGCTTTTTAATTTGCGAATAAGTTAACTATTTCCGGCATGGTGGTCACTTAATTTTTCTGCTTATTGCATGGTGGTTAATGGAACTTTAAATAATAACAGTGTATAACCAGTATAACCAAAAAAAGGTGATATTTATTATGACAAATTATATAAAATTCGACCATTACTGTCTAGATTGTCTTAGACATTTTCTGAGAGTTATTCACCATATAAAAATGTCGTCGTAGACGAATCTATGGTTACATTTAAAGGCAGGTCTATGATCAAACAATATATGAGAGATAAACCAATTAAGAAAGGTTTCAAAATTTGGATGCCCTGTAATAGTTCATCGCTTAATTTAAAATTTCAAGTTTATACCGAAAATTTGATTTTATAGGTGTTGAAAAAGGTTTTGGCGCAAGAGTTGTCATAGATATCTTGGAAAATTTACCTGATAAAAATCATACTATCTATATGGATCATTTTTCACAAGTTACAGTTTATTTAAAATTTTAAAAGACAATTTAATATATGCCGTTGGAACAGTAAATGCTTCGAGAAAAAATCTATTGAAACTTAAAGATGATAAATTAATTTACGAGGTGAATATGATTGAAAAATGTCCAATACTAGTATTGTGATGTTTAAGTGGAAAGATAATAAGTGTGTTCATTTTTTATCATTTTTACATGGTCCTAAAGATACTGGAAATGTAAATAGAAAATCTAAAGATTGAATTCAAAAGCTTGACTCATGTCCAAAAGTGTTGATAGACTAAAATAAAAATATGAACTTCAAGGATAATTTTGATCGTTTGAATAAGTTTGACAGAAAAAGTATGAAATGGTATTTACGATTAATTTTTCATTTCTTTGAATTTAACGCAATATCATACAAAAAGAAATTAAAAATATGTCAAAATTAAGCAACAAAGATTTTCATAGATGTCAACTTTATAGTGAGTCGTTCCATTCGCATTTAAATTCATATTTCTCAAGTACTCATCCATCTTTATTTATATTCATTAATGCTCTAACGGATTTTCAAATTGAAATATATGTTAAAATTCAAAGTTGCAATAAATTAAATAAATCAAATAAACATATTTATACAAAAAATAATGAAAAAAATATATCCTAAAAAATATTAAATTATAAAGAAAAAAAAATAAATTCCCTAACTTTTTTAAATCTGTATGTTCTTATTATCAAAAACTTATTATTTTTACGTTTATTTTGTATTTGTAACTTATATTATTATTATTGACTATTTTTAAAAGAAACTTAAATGTATATTGGATTTTTTGAAATTTTATTTTTTATTGTATTTTGACTATAATATCATGTTCATAGCAGCTAAAGACATTAATTTATATTGTTATTATTATTATTATTATTATTATTATTATATATGATTGACTATTTTTAAACGCAACTTAAATGTATATTACATTTATTTTATGATTTTTACTAGACCCGGAAGAGTTTACATGTTTCCGTCAGGTAGTACTGGAGTAGACCCGGGAGAGTTTACCATCGGAAGAGTTTACAATCACCCATCATGCCATAAAACAAAATATTCCGGAATACAAAGAACATTCTAATTATATGAAAAATTCCAATGGGTCAAATATTGTTATTAACAATATATAGTACCGTTCCTGGTGCACTTTTTATAAATCATAAAAAAATCAGAAAATAAATTATAAAAAGATCACAAAATAAATAATTAAAAATATTATCATAAAAAGATCGCAAAATAAATATTAACATTAAAAGATCAGAAATAGATCACAAAATAAATATTAACATAAAAAGATCCCAAATAGATCACAAAATAAATATTAACATTAAAAGATCAGAAAATGAAATAAATCATTAATTGCATAAATATTATAGCATTCAATCTTTTTTGTTTTGATTTTTAATCAGTGTATTGAGATGTTTTACAAAATTATTTTTATCTATATTTGTTTTATAATGTCCCTAAGCTAATGTATCAATACCATTTTCCAAAATAAATCTTTTATCATCATAAGCACTTAAAGCTTTTTTGTTTTGTTCAAAAGTAAAAATATCATGTTTCTTTGTTCTAAATAAATTTTGAGTAACATATTTTGGATTTTTATTGTATAAACAATTTTTGAAATCGTTAAAATATATTTTATTTTCCACTACATTTTTTTTAACACCTTAAGCTTTTTTAATTTCTCTTTCTGTATTTAAAATTAACACGAGTGATAGTCACACGCCTGGAAACCCGCCGACATTCTTTACATTCAAACTTTTTTCCGGAAAATTGATTTTTCTAATTTATTGTATCGTTTTTCCTTTCATATTCTTACACGTAGCACAATAACTTAAAATACATTTTGTATGAATATGGAAATAACGAACTATGATAACTTTCACGAATAAAAAACCTATTGTAATTTTATTTTTAGTACGTCATAACTATATTATTATATGATCTAGCTTTATATTTTACATTTATCATTTAAATATATTCGAACGACTGTTTTGTTATATGTAATTACTATGTTATGTGATTAGACCTAAACCGTTTTAAATTATATAAATAATAAATAAATAAAAGTTAATATTAACTTTACATTAGTATATAAAATTAAACATAATAATATATTGTAATATAACAATTATAATGTAGGTACCTAATGTTATAATTTTATATTTTAGTATACATTAATGCTTCATGTGTGTTTATTAAAGTAATTAAATTATTATATTTATAAATAAAAATATTTAAGAATTATTTAATACTATTAATCTATCTTTTTTAAAATTTAAATTATCATTTATTCAGTTTAACTTGAAATATACTTTCAAATTTGGTTATAAATAAATTAATATACTATAAGTATAATAATTAACAAAAATAAGTAGAACAGTGTAATTTAATTTATGTTTATTGAAATTATTCAGATAACTCTAATAACTTTAATGAAAATATAGTTTGTTATATAAATTTATTTCTTTGTGTGCCGTGAAATCTATAAATAATAATAAAAATATGTATTCAAGATATACACACGGTTAAAATCAAACATTTCAAGTGGTTTTATACTCAACGAAGCGAGTATAAAAACAATAGTTGTTAAATGAAATTCAATTGAATAAGTAGGTGGTTAGATTGTGTAGTTTTAATTTTTTATTGAAATAAATACTATTATTTTTAGCAAAAATATATTTTGCTGTTTTTAGGTGCTTATTTTTTTCATAATAAATGCAAATGTATCACAGCTCTAGTTATTAAACATTAATTCATACACCTACTATTCATGTATACAGTTGTTATTATAAATTACGCGGACAGCTTATGTAATAGTATGTTTTGTGTATACATTTCTTAGAACAACTTGAACTGCCTAACAGTAAGTAGCGACGACGGCACTGTGAAATAATAATAACAGAATTAATAATACTATATATGTGTGTGTGTGTGTGTGTGTACTGCACGAAAACGCAAAACCGGAATACACTAACGCAGACGGGTAAATATTGAATAATGTTTTAATAAACGAGATAATAATCAATAATCCGTTTCGTTGAAGCGTAGAGTGAAGACCGTCGACTTGCGAATTAATTATATCGCCGAACAGATGTTGCACTCATTTTATTAACGTTTTCCGACGGGTCGGTGTATCGCTGAGATGACTGATGCTAATAAACTAATATATATTCAACGTATGGAACTTGTAACATGTATACACAACACGCGCATATATTAATAATATTATGACAGAAACGTGATATCCGTAAATGAAAAATTAAATGAAAAATATCAACGAGAGTTCGGGAAGAGGGATTGTCGCAACCATATGGCTAATAATTGCAACTGTGCCGCGAATGGGGAAACATTGTAAACGCGAACAGTGTTGTCAGTGATGAGGTGATAGTCATTAGTCAGCGATCTCCGACGTTGCGCGGACCGTTCGTCTACCTCGAAAACCGTGCGCGTTCCTAATCAATTATCATCCATTCTACTGTCCAAGTATTATTATCTATATTTTATCTAATAAACCTTGCCGTCCGTGTACGTTAATAAATAATAATAAAAATATCGTCTATCGAGCATTTTGTCACTGTACTCCCTTGTCGCCACAGCCGAGTTCAAATCGTGCACGGTTGCTATCTAGCAGCAACCCGTCAGTTGTTCGTCGTCCGCTTTTCCCTCTATCCAGGCTTGGAGTGTAACGTTAGTCATCATCTACACCCCGGACTTCGCAATCGCTACCTAGCAACTTAGTCGCAGCTAGAACATCTGAAACGAAACAACTACAATGTTGATGATCGCTCATACGAACGCAGTAAGTGCGCCATGTAATCGTTTGGTACCGTGAATGCATTCCGAACAATCTCAACGATCGGCTTATATACGTCCGTAGGTCACATACATCCTCAACTGTCATCTAGGTGTCCCGGCTTGGTGACTGTTTGGTTTTTTGATGGCTCTACTCGTATGTCATTGTTTATACTAGGATGACAATGTTGTTTGGTTAATCTATACAAATTCTCTACAATTCATATAGAGTACATCAATTCTTATATTATCTGTAACATTGGCCAGTATGAGAAATGTGATGAGTTTCATTCAACTGATTGTGTTGTTTCTGCCGTTTGCATTATCTGCAAGTCCAAATTGGATGTAAGTCATTTTATTAGCTAGTTTCCATTGGCAAGTGACTGTAGTCACTATATTGTGTTTGCTAGAATATTGCGTTATGTAGTTTGAGTGTCATTATTTTCATTTTTACTATTGTGACGTTAAGCATTTTTTGAATTATTTAATTTATATAACTAAAATGCTTTCAATATTTTTAAACAAATTGATTGTTTTAATTGGATTGCATTTTTTGTTCAAATATTTTAGTACATTTTATTATAATATGACGTGTATTTTGTTTATATCAACAGTCATTTAGCCTATAGGTACAATCAATTAGGTTTTCTTTCAACAGTAACTCGTAATAGCTTATTTTATTATTATTACTTATTTGTTTGTAGTGTATTCTTTGTATGTTTATATATTTTCCAGGTAATGGCTTGTAGTATATGTAATGTGTATGTATAGAAAAACCTCAGAATCGGTATCTACTTTTATATACATTACTACATACACTAATTAACCCATAGAGTTGATGATAATTAGTCTCTTTTTTTTTGTAACTAGTTATTTTGAGTACTTTTATAAAATTGCTTAATTTTGCACTAATTTTTAATTATAGGTATTTAGGTATAATAGGGATACCACCACCTCTTCAACAGCAACAAGCATCACCAGGTTCAGAGATCGAGGATCCAGAAATAGTTCAAGCCAGAGCGGTTTGTGGTGCCTTGCCAGGTTTAGCCTCAAAACAAGTGGATGTGTGCATGAAGCATCCAAATGCTATATATTCAGTATCCGATGGAGCTAAAAAAGCCATTGAACAGTGTCAACTTCAGTTTCGTCATGAACGATGGAATTGTTCAGTAATGGAAAATGAACAAAGTGTGTTTGGTCCAACACTAGACAAAGGTATGAAATTAATTTATGTATACATTTTAAAGCGTTAATTATATTTTTAATTCAATTAGAATCAAACCTATGTGATTTAAACTCATTTGTGCATCCATTTGTTTTATTTTAAGTAAATTAATTACTGTTACATTAGTGAAATAATATTTAATGTATATTTATTATTATCTTCAGTGCTGTGTCTACCCTTTATTCTGCAACAAAATTATACACTCTCTATATTATTGATAAGTTTGTTAGCCAAGATATTTAATATGGTTAATGTGGTGGTATACATTCACCATTATAATCTATATTTGCTTATTATTAATTGTTCCATAAAGTACCAGTTTTTATGCTTACAATATTTACATTAAATTCTACGTTCAATTTTTCTGAATACATCTGACAAATCATATTCCTAACACCTAGAATCTAATATTATAATTACAACAGGTATTTTTTTATTTTTTTTTTTTGTAAGTTTAAAACAAATTTTATTTTTTTGTGATTTTATTGATGTAATATCATTAACTCACAGTTTTTATCACAGTATGTAGATATATTCTACTAGTAAATTAATTTACACCTAACGTATTATAGTATAAATAGCATACATATATATAAAATTTCATACTTTGATAATTACACAACATTAATATTGTCTGAATCTGCTCATAATTCATGAATATTAAACTACAATTTTATTTTCTTACATAAATCTGAAAATAAATTTTTTATAATTAATTTATGAATACTGCGGGGTGGGTTTAGTAATGTAATCAATTTATACACATCCAAAACAACATTTAACAATCATAATATATATTTTTATAAAATAATACTACCTTATTAACACTTAAACATTTTGAGCCATTAAATATTATAAGTAATTATTGATTAATTAATGTTATGTAATTAAAATTCTATATTTTCAGTAAAATATTATCTTTTACTTTTTAGATATTGATGAATGTATTAGTTTATAATGACTTGTGTTTTTACTATAAGGTATTCTCAACACCTGTATAACTAAAAGTTTACCCATTTGACAACTTTTTGTAATGTCATATTATTTTTAACTATTTTCCATTAAAAATAAGTTGATTATTAACACCTATAGAGTTTAATTTAATAATTAAATATAATGTATAGAAATTATTTCTATATTAAACTTTTTTTAAAACGACTTAGTTTAATTCATGTTCAAATTATCTTACTATTCCAACCTTTATTAAACTATATTTAGGGATCTATAACGGAGAAAAAAATAATGGATCTTACTTACACAAAAGCTTTTGAGCGAAAATAAAACTAACATTTAAATAGCAGAAATAATGAATGTAATAATATCACAATTGACATTGATATTAGTTGTATTGGCTTGTGGATTTTTTTACAATACATCATCCATAAGTTAATTTTAATATATAATTCAGATTGTTACATTGGATTAATAATATATAATAGATGTAATGATAAAAATAAGTTATTAATAGGCATGTAAAATAATAAATCTACATTAAAACAAAAAGTTCATTATTAGTAATAGTTATTATTTTTTTGAGTAGGTAGTAAAGAGACTGCCTTTATCTACGCTATCACTAGTGCAGGTGTAGTGTATTCAATTACAAATGCATGCAGTTCAGGAAGATTAACTGAATGTAGTTGTGACTCTATGCAACATGGTCAAACTACGCCTGAAGGATGGAAATGGGGAGGTTGCAGGTAAATATTAGATTAAGATAATAACTTTTTGCTTAAATAAAAATACTTATATGTGTATATTGTATAAACAATATAATCATATTTTTAGGTAACATTAAATTGGATGGTTTTAGGACATATTTTGCATTAGTATAAAAATTAAAATGTTCATTTATAGGAATGTTTTCAATATTTTAATTATTCTAGAAATCGCAGTCTTAGATTTGAATTTTCTTAAATAGCAATATCATCTTTTTTTCATGCCATATTTGAGTAGACCAATTTATTTAACGTAATAAATTACCTGACATTTAACACAATAATCAAGTTATATTAAACCAAATTTGTCGTACTTTATTTGGAAAAGGCCTAATTAATGTTACCAAAAAAATAGATTACATTGTATGATGTATATCGTATATTTTTTAATTTTAGTGATAATTTGCGTTTTGGATTACAATTCTCTCGAAAATTTGTTGATGGTTCTGAACCCAATCGGCCTGATAATTTCAAAACCACAAAACAAAAAAGAATTTGGTCCAATCGCCTCAAAATGAATTTGCATAATAATGAAGTAGGCCGACAGGTAAAACAGACAATTATTTTGTTTTAAAAATATTTCAGCACATAATATGGTTCAAGATAATAATAAACAGTATTTTTCTATAATTAATCATAATTATAGTTTTCGATTCTTTTTTTGTTATATATATTACAACGATTAAAGTAATTTAAGGTTTTGAGGGCTAGGTTATTAATTTGGCATCAATTAGTGAGATTCCACTAAGAAATGTCCACATTAGTTGGCCTCTGTCCTATATTAGAAAATCTATATAATTTGAATTTTTTTGAATTTTATTATTATTATTGCTATCAGGGCATCATAGAATCAATCTTTTAATCTGCAATAGAAAGTTTTTTTATCAAAATTATCTCATATTTAGATTGTTATGTCATTAATGAAAATGCATTGTCGTTGTCATGGTGTGTCTGGTTCATGTGAACTAAAAACCTGTTGGAAATTTATGCCATCATTCAATGAGATTGGTAATGAACTCAAACAAAAATATGGAAAAGCTATTCTTGTATGTTTTAGATTGATTTTTTCTAGTAATAATTGTCATGATTTTTGATAACTTGTATTATTCATGATGATAGATTAATCATATCGCAAACAATTCACAAAAGAAAAACAATACAATACATCAGAAAAGAGAGCCCAGGGCTTTAAAGAGACTAAAAAAACAAATGTTAATCGAACCAAAAGAATTAGTGCATATACAGAAGTCACCAAATTATTGTAAGCAAGACTTTGAAAACGGAGTATTGGGTACAGAAGGTCGCAAGTGCAATATTACATCAACTGGGCCGGATTCTTGTAATAAACTGTGTTGTGGTCGTGGTTATATCACTAAGGTAATAAACAATGTCTGATAATAATAAATATGAAGTAAAATTTTTTTTTTCTGTTTTTTCTAAGGTTGTAAAGGAAGAGGAACATTGCAATTGCAAATTTGTTTGGTGCTGTTACGTTAAATGCGATATTTGCTACAAAAACATTGAACAAAAATCTTGTAAATAAATACATGACATTGAACATGTACTTGAAATTAAATTTTCTATGATTGCTTCAAAAAAAAAATCTTTAGTCTGTTGTTCTCATGTATAAATGCAAATTTTCATTCAATTAATAGAAATAATAAAACAAATTTTCATAAACATATCAGTAATAATTAAAATCAAGCACATGCTATATTATGAATATTTTTATCCCATTTGTACGTTTCCAAAATCCCCTAATGAAACTATACACACGTCTTCCGCAATTGATTAACTGTCGCTTGCACTCGCATACTCTGTAGTATACGAAAGCACATTGTGTAGCATTTAGAGCATTATATATTTATATTTAGCATTAAAATGTAATGATGTATAAGAAATGTAACATTATTCCTTCATATATTAAATTATTATTCAACTAAAAGTTTTGTTTGTATTTTATTTTAAGACATTTCTTTATATACAGACAAAATGCAATTGAAATATGTATCCAACTTATAATTTATAATAATATTTCTGTAATTTTTAGGTATGAAAAAATTAAGAAAACATGATGTTTAATTTTAAATAAAACATTTCATGAGTAATCAAATATTCAAACAACTAATATTTATTCCTCAGCTCCCCTTCCCCACATACAACCACCTTAGCCATATAATCAATGTTGAAATCTTAAACTAAAAAAATAATGTTAAGCTGAATGCCACATTAAGAAAAAATAACACACTTATTAATTTTTTAGAAGATAAATTATTATGAAATGTTACAAAAATTGATACATTTTATAACATTAACAATAAAAGGAAATTACATATAAATTAGTTCTAAAATAACAACCTTGACACAATTATTCATCAGAGTTAACCATATACCAGTTTAAACTAAATTTGGAAATCTGACAGTTCGTACATAAATAAGTCATAAACAACACGAGGTGTACATTTTTTACCTGCCAGTTATTGAGCTAATATTATAAGAACACAAATATTAAGTACTTCTTAATTCTATGAACACAGTTATTAAGTCCAATTTAAATGATTTTGGTGTTCGTGTTTGTTGCGATTTTGATGTAAATTAATGCTACTTGTATAATACAAATAGCTAAATTTTAAAATTAATTTATCACAATAAACTTAATGTGCACTTTAAGGCCATAAAAAGATCCAATAAATTAATATAAAGTACTTTTAATTTTGTAAATAGATTTCCAAATTCCTCAAAAAATAAAAATAAATAAATAAAACAAAATACATTCTTAATATCTTACACATTATATTATATTTAAACGTATAAAAACCTATTATTTTTTATTGGTTAATAATATGTTAATATAAGCTAAGTAAACAGTCATGTATATTTCAGAACTTAACGATAAATTAATTATAATTATAAAAATTTTAAAACAGCCTATTATGATTATTTTTTTCTTATAACTATAACTTAAAACTTACACCTGTTAAAGTCAAATTCATCAAATTTAGGCAGGAAATGTGACATGTTATTAGAATCACCAATATTGCTGTCATATATATCAGCTTAAATAACTGAGATTAAAAAAAAAAAAACAACAGCAACATTTTCATGTATTGGATCGTCAATGTACAATGTAAGATTAAATTATATTATTTCTTAGCATAACATTATTTTATAAGACTAAAGTCAAAGTAGTTCAAATTGACTATTTGACTATTACATGCTAGAAAACAATAGTTAAAGCAAATTATAATATTATAAAATATTAATAGATATCCATTAATTATTTAGAACATTATAAAATATACTTCAATATTTTTTTAGAGAAATAAGTCAAATATTTTTTTTTAATAGACCACACAAATTCATTTACTGATATTATTTTATATTTAAGTTAGAAATCAAATAAAATTTGAAATTTTTGTAATAAACAATTAATTTTAAAAACATTTAAATTTAATCCTTAATGACCAAGATGACTAATAAATGTTTAGTATATTTTAACTATAAATTAAGATAAATAAGTTTTTTTATTAAAAATCAATTATTGATTATCCAATAAAACTTGATAATCTGAAAAATTCAAATCAGTGTTAACTAGTTTTATGATTTTTCTAAATTAATGATATACAATGATCAAGAAACTTTATATCAACAACATTATTTATAAGTTCTAATAAAAATTACAAAATAAAATAAATAATAATTTGAAAATGAATAACATAGTAAGATAAAATAAGATATCTAAAAAGAGTAAAGTTAATTTAATTGAATCTATGACATCAGTATTTTTTTTTTAATTATTAAAAAAAGTTAGACAAGGTACTATTAATATTAATTTCTTAATGTGTTATCAAGTATAAACAAATTCATTAGATTATTAGGCCTTATAAATATATTCAAATTTAAATATAACCTAACTATATAAATTTGTTTGTGATTCAATTTACTTTGAAAGGATATCATACATCAATTTTATACTTAATATTTTGTTCAATAAATTGGTCATTCTACGTATAATATGTATCGAGTAAAATTAGTTTGTATACATTTGGTTTTAAAATTTTAAATGAAAGAGATTATAACTTAATAAATCAGGGAAATGTGAATTTTAATATGACCTAATGTTATTACAGCATAATTTTTATTAGAACACAATTATGGTATATAATATAATAATATATATCTAAACATGAGCGTCTCCAGGAGGGCAGGACAGGGCACTTGACTCCATAAAATTTAAATTTTTTTATTTAATGTAATAATGACAAAACATAATAATGTATACATTTTGTATAAGAAAATCTTCATTTATTTTTAAATTAATTTTACTTCATCTTAGAAAAATGTCTGGGGACGCCCATGTATCTAAATGTATAATATGTACAACATAAAAAAATTATTACATTAAATTATATTCTATAGTCATGAATAACTTAATAATTTTCTTAAAACTAGCACTAAAAATTATAATAAATTAAAACATAAAAGAATGTGGTAACATTATTAAGTGTATCTTTTTTCAAAATGATAAACAATAAATATCAAAATTGTGTTTCATAATTTCTGTAAAACCAATGTACGTATGATAGAAACATAATATAGATTTTTCCTGAACATAAGCCAAACTATGAAAACATTTGAGTAAATAAAATAGTATGACAAAAAATGCGAAAGTAGTCAACATATGAACGAATTTATAGGATCTAGTGTATATTTAAATTCATTCAAATCTCTCAAGATTAAAGTAGTGATTTATATTTATAAATAATATTATAAAAAACTTGAGAAAAAATGAAGCAACTTTGAGAGAAAATTTTAATGTTTAGCTTATTTGGTTTTAAATGTGTAAATATTTAAAATTCAAAGTGGTTATCGTTAGTCAAAAACACATGCACATCTAAACTGGCAAAATGATGAGATTTTAATTTTATAAAAACCTAAAACATACATGGTAAAATGTTACAATTATGCCAACCTAGTGCTCATGGCTAAGTAAACAAATATATTAGCTAAAATTTTATCTTCACTATCATTGTGGTATGTTTTTCAGACATGGAAAACATAATATCAATAAGCTAATGCATTAGCATTTTTATTGTAGTGTTCAATAATTTAGCATTTATTCCAAGTCGGAGGGAAATTTTGTTTATATTACTATCTAACTAGTACACCTGTTTTATTAGTTATGCTTGTGCTTACATATCTGAAATTATCATGATAGTTGTCTTATTGAGATGGTATGTGGAAGAATAATTACTAGGGCTCGAATGTTGATGCATTTATAACTTTTTTTCTATTGTTAGGATTTGTTTCTAAACAGGTTATAAATTTGTTTCAAACAAATACAAATTAATATCTAAAATTTTAAGGGCAATTTTTTGCAATTATGTTGATTTTCAATACAATTTTATGTATTTTTTTAAGTTTTCATTTTTTTTCTTTTTGTTAGATTATACAGAAATATAATCTATGATTATTTTGTTAATACTTCATATATTTAAAAAACAATAGTTTTTATAAAAAAATTTAAATGTTATTAAAATTATTTGTAGGTTCCAGAAAACATAAGAAGACCGGACAATTTATCAGATTTTCAATGATGAGAATTTGATTTTGTATTTTTTTATAATTTACTTGTTTAAAACCTATCTAATAATAATACTTTATAAAATTAATCAATTCATTTCATAAAATAATTTTTTAATATATATATATATATATATATTTTATTGCAATTTTTAAGAGCAATTTTTAATTTTTCATAGCAAGCCCTAATAATCAGAATCTTGACATGACCTTGCACTCATACTAATAGAACATGTGGCCACTACCATTCACTTGTTAATTAACTTATAAAATTTCACACATAGGCATGTCATATCATAAGAGACATATATTAATATTAGACTAGAACCACTTTAAAACCTAAGGAAGAGCTTGGCCTTACTCCAAAAGTTCTGCTTATGTAATTCCTAGCTAAAAACTGAACACAGTTTAACTAATTAGAAAAAGATCCAAACTAATATATCTTATGCGTGTCATAAAACTAACCAGGTATAATAGTGGTTAAAAAAATAGAAGACTCAATTTTTTCATTAGTTTTATATATTTTTTAATATATAATAGTTCCCTATTTTAAATAACTTATAATATCTATACAATTACATTTTATTTTCAAGACATATTTTTTATGTAGCCATATTATATATTTTTGATAACTATTAGGACTCTAAGAAAACGGGTACAGCCAATATTTTATCTTGAGAAATCAAGCTAATACAAAAAATCATTTTCCAGAATTTTAAAATGAACCTATGTATATGAACGATACAATATCCACTTTAATTGTAACAATTTAAAAATTAAATACATTTTTTAGTTTATATGTGTATCCAAAGAATAAATACGAGATTGTTAAAAATTATACTTATTTATTTTAAACATAATGAAAAATTGGTTTTACTTAATACATTATTAATTAGATAGATTATAAAAATCAATTCTTCAATAGAACCAAGTAATAGCAATTTGAGCTTTGTTGAGTATAAATAAAAAACAATTTTTTTGAAATTATGAAACACAAGTACCTTAAAATATGCCTATGTTGCTTATATCGTATTTAACACAATTTTTGAGCAAAGCATTTACTTCCTATATATTTGATAATTAAATGTAAGTAAAATTGAAACTTAAGGCACCATAATCTCAGATTTGGTTTAACTCACAAACACTAGAAATATAAAACATGATTTTGATATTGCAAGTATAGACTAAAGACAACTGATTTTACTACCACATACCCTTAGTTTTAAGTAAATTTTATTTTATTATACTACTTTATTTGCAAATTATTGCAATATAATATTGAACATTATGGTAGCACACAAAACATAGATACATAAAAAAAATATGTACCTAAAATAAATTAAAATTAATTTAACATTTGAAAATATTATGACACATTCTCCCTGTATTGTTTAAGTTATATATAAAACAATAATTACAATATTTTC